TGTCATAAAACAACATGTGTACTACTGTTTCATGAGAAACTATTTGTTCTGTAAGCCTTCACCTGAAGTACAATAAAATATAAAAAAATAAAAAAAATTAAAAAGAAAGAGACATTTCACGATCCTATAGTTTTAAGCTCAGGGAGAATCTTTGTGCAACAGGGTTGGTGACATGAGAATCTGGGCCCCTTGGCCATACAGCTTGCCTATGTATTTTGGCCCTTCTAGTACCTGATCCTGAATGTAAAGCAGTCTTTTGGAGGTAAAAAGCCAAGACTCCCTGATTTCTAAAACCAACCAACCAGGTGTTTTTGTTTGTTTGTTTACCCATGCTAGTTTGGAAAATATTGCTCTATTCTCTATTGCCTAAAATGACTTGATAAGAGATGCCAAACAAATAAACAGATGGAGAAAAAAAAAATCCTGGCTTATTCATTACTGTGAATAAGAACATGTTCCCTTTTTTTTTTCTGATAAAAGACATTTTATTTTGCATATTAACACTTTTAATCTTCACTTTTCAATGTGTTAAAGATTAGGTTTCATGTTTAAATCGAACAAGGTTCGATTTCTTATTTTATTATTATCCTATCTGTTTACATTAGGAGATAAATATGCATAAATTTTCCTTCTACTCAGCCATTATTTAAAGATTTATGATTACCAAAATCATAATTCTAGACAGATCCTAAAATTCTTCTAACCTTCCAACTGCAATAAAACAACTGAATAATGTGTAGATTTCTTAAGAGCCAAAGAGAACATTTCATCTCTTCTGACTTTTATCTGATTATAGAGTATGATATGAGAACTTGTAGGGAACACCACTGTCCCAAGTGCTCAATAAATATATGGTAATGAATAGATTCTATGGATAATGATCCAAAGAATTATGAACGAGAGAGCTAGAAGTATAATGAGGTTATTCACAAAGATTCAGTTTTTCCCTAATTGCGTATATTGTAGATATCACTTACATTAAAAACACCAGATGTAATACATAGTTGGGGACAAACTACATGGGCAAAGCAGAAAAGACAGCTCATCCCAGCATCTAATGCTGTCGATTACTCTTTGGTTAAGAGCCAAATTCCAGATCTAACTGAAAAAGTTAAATACTCTCCTGTTTTGGAATTTTATGTTGCCTTGTATAAACAGTTCCATTCATATAGACAGAGATATATCACAAAAGGTTTATGTACATGATCTCTACCTTGTTGAGAAAACTCTTCAGGACACTTGCAGCTTTTACAGAGAGAGAACGTGGTATGCGAATTTGTTTTTCCAAAATAACTAAAAGATAAAATTATGGCATTATATTTAACTTTACCATGGTTTTGATCTTATATCTTTATTCTGAAATATTTAAGGCATTCAGCAAAGACATCACATAACACAACCAAAGTGCCTCATGTACCCTTCCAATCCCATTCCTCTCCTTCCTTATTGGAGATAATCTCTATTCTGAAATTGTTTTATTATTTCCATGCATATGTTTTATTCTTTGACTACCTTTGTGTCAGTTTTCTCATCTGTAAAAATTGGGATAAAAATAATACCTACTTTATAGGGCTGCTATGAAGTTTAAATGAGTAAGATGCTAGAACAGTCCTTAGCATGAATTATTGCATGTAATATTATATCCAATTTTACTGGACATGACCAAATTATTCTCCAAAGATGCTGTGTCAATTTTCACTCCCACCAACAGTCTATGACAGTTCCAGTTGCTCTACATCCTCACCAGCACTTGGTATTATCATACTTTAAAATTTTTGCCACATGTATGAGTATGAAATAGTAGCTCATTACTGTTTAATTTACATACCTCTAATTACTTGCACAGAAGTAAGGCCTGGCGATCTACTTCTGAAAAATCAACCACTGAAAACCCTTTGGAGCACAGTTCTACTCTGACACACATGGGGTTGCCATGAGTCATAATCGACTCTACAGCGACTAAACCCATTGCCGTCGAGTCGATTCCGACTCATAGCGACCCTAGACGACAGAACAGAACTGCCCCAGAGGGTTACCAAGGGGCGCCTGGTGGATTTGAACTGCTGACCTTTTGGTTAGCAGCTGAACTCTTAACCATTACGCCACCAGGGTTTCCCTACAGCACCTAGTCACTGGTTAATTACTGAAAGGTTGAACGTCTTCACACTATCCCCTGGCCACTTGGGTTATCTATTAAATTCAGTGTATATTCATAGTTCATAGCCTTTGATGGTTGTACTTATTAAATGTAGAGTTTTATGGCAAAGAGTCTTAGTACTTCTCTGGACTGTATGTTAGGGAGTCCTTGTGCTTGTCTTCTTGTTTCTATTCTGTTCAATGCTTTGTATTTCCAATCGTGGAGTCTTTTTTTCACCTTCTGACCCGTTTTATCTTCTTGGTACTCTACTTTTCCCCTATACTGTTCTTGGACTTATGTACTCAGCCTCAGGGTCCACACGTAGAATTGTCCTCTCTAACCACAGGATTCACTCCCCCAATCTCTCTTTGTGATATACAATCTAAAGAAGTCTCTTTGTTATTTTTTTTTTGAGTATAAGAAGGTAACTGGTAAATGGGACTGAAGACTACAGAAGTAGAAAGGATGTAACAAAAAAGACTCAAAATCTCACACATTAAGCCAGGAGTATACTGTCCAGATTATCCTTTTTGCCTACTCAAAGCACTAACTTGACCGTCCACATTTGTGCTCTATAAAATGATTATTCACAGAGAAACTATATAAAATACTGCAAATTACCTTGAAAGAGATAATCTTCTGTATTTTGATCAGGGTTATCAGAGCTCCCAACAATATCAAATGGAGACCTTCCTGCCATCATCTCAAACATCAGCACTCCAAGAGCCCACCAGTCGACACTGAAACCTTCAGAAAAGAAATTTTAAAGTGATGAAATTATCCACTCTGCATTCTTGAATGTAATTTAAGATTCAATCTCTCGTATAATGAAAAAATAAACATAATAAACAAGCAAACTCCAAAAGTATTATAACTATCATGGGAGGCATTCAGAAGTACAAGAGTACTTCGCTTATCAACAAGGGTAGGTACCTAAAATATAACTTTAAATATAAAATTATGGGCAATGAAACATTAGTTTCTTTTTCCAAATATGCCTGTAATATCAGACTCATGCCCACAGCTAATAATTTGTTTTGAGGATGTATCTAAAGTGTATTTGAGAATAACTTCCTTTGGTCTGAAACTTGATTTTTTGCTAGATGATTAAAGATCCTTAAAGGACCCTGGAATCAGATTGTGACCAACTGTCAGAAGGACCACATCTTCCTCTTCATCTGCTGAAATCCAAGGGCCAGAACCCAAGGAGCCAAATGTTTTCTTAAGGTAAATGTATCCTCTGGTTCCTGACAAGGAGTCAATCTTTCCACCATCCTTCAGATTTCTGGGCAAACATCCCAGGAAATCTGAACAATCTTCCAGAGGTTCATAACTCTGGAGTCACATTGCTGAGGTGTGAATCTCTGCTCTGCCACTTTCTAGCTGTATGACCTTGGGCAAGGTATTTACATTTCTGTACCTCAGTTTCTTCATCTGTAAGATGAGGATTAACCGTGCTTACCTCATAGGGTTATTAACATATGTAAAGTGCTTAGGATAGTGCCTGGCGCTCTTTATCATTTGCCACAAATAAAATATTATTCAAATTTGTACCTCCAAATAGTGCCAAGGACCCACTGTCTCTAATTTCAGAGTCTGGGGGTCTTCATTTACGTTTTAAAGGGATCAAGAAAGTTTATACTAAGAATATTAACTATGATTTAGTTGGTATCACATTCAACCAGCCATTCAGCATACAGCTAAAATACCATCTATTTATTACCATAATCTTCTCCTCTAAGAATTTCAGGAGCAATGTAATTAGGAGTACCACAGAAAGTGCTAGTTGTATCTCCTGGCCGTAATCCTTCCTTTTATAAAAAAGAAAAAGAAAGAAAGAAAAAATAAGATCCAAAATTCTGTTTTAAATTCATTTCTTTTGTATCAGCTATCATATAAGCTCAGACTTTACAGGTAATACATGCCAGAAGAACGAACAAGTCTGTCTTGGAAGAAATACAGCCAGAGTGCTCCTTGGAAGTGAGGATGGCGAGACTTTATCTCATGTACTTTGGACATGTTATCAGGAAGGACCAGTCCCTGGCAAAGGACATCATGCTTGGTAAAGCAGAGGGTCAGCAAAAAAGAAGACGACCCTCAACAAGATGGACTGACACACTGGTTGCAACAATGGGCTCAAACATAACAACGATTGTGAGGATGGCGCAGGACCAGGCAGTGTTTCATTCTGTTGTACACAGGGTTGCTATGAGTGGAACTGACTCGATGGCACCAAACAACAATGTCAAGCTTAAATACTGTATCACCAGTAAAACTACCTATATGATTAAGATCATAGATCACCACTAAATAACTTAAAGAAAATCTATCCTCAATAGATGTTCATAAAAGTCAGTTCAATTAAAATAAAAATTGCATTTAAAATAATTTATATTCTTCAAATTGAACTTTAATATAGAATTTTAAATTACATGAGTAAAATGAATCATACTTCATAAAGAAAAGAATCATTTTAAATCCCACTTCCTAACACAAACACTGCTGGCATTATGGTGTGTTCCTTCCGGCCTTTCTTCCTAATGCACAGGTTTTTTTGGTTTTGTATTTTAATAGCTACAGGACAAAGAAAATTAAGGCAAAATGCACTAATAGGTATAAACAGAGAAACTACATAATAAATGTAGTCTATTAACTACACCAATCAGCAAGAAAGTATAACAAATATAAACTTGTATGCACTTAACACATAGCATCAAAACATAACAATAAAAGTGGATAAAATTACTAGAAGAATTTTGCGATCCCCAATCATGGTAAGAGATTTTAACACATCTATATCAGAAAATGATAGATCAAATAGACCAAATATTAGTAAGCAGAGAAAGATTTGGCTAAAAGCTAGAGTTAGTATAGGTATATATCATATAGAATATATATACATATAGAACATGCATATCTATATATACTGCAGTAGAGAGAAAGACAGACTCTCTGCTTGCAAAAACAGAGATTATATATCCTTTCTAAGTACACATAAGGTATTTACAAAAACTGACCAAATACTAAATCATAAAGAAAATTTCAATGTATTTCAAAAAACAGATTATCATTCAGATCATTCTCTGGTTACAAGGCAATTAAATAAAAAAACAACAATAAAAAGCATTTTAAAAAAAGCAAAGTAATTATTATATATACCATTAAGTATCTGCTTTTTTTACTTTATAAGCATTTCCTATATAATCAGACTTCTTATTAATGACTCCATAAAAATTCATCTGAACATATGTACCTACAATTTAACTACTTCCCTAATGTTAGATTATAAGATACAAAATTGCAAACAGGAAAAAATAAATAAAAGGGTATACAATGAAAATCAAGCCTTCCTCCCATTCCTGCTCAATTCATGTAGTTCTTGTTCCCCAGAGGCAACTACTGTTATAAGGTTCTTATGTGTCCCTCCAGAGATATTCTGGGCATAGCGTATGTAAGTATTTTTCTTCAAATTTTACCCTTTTATATATAATACTGGAGCATGGGCGGTCCAGTGATTAAGAGCTTGGCTATTAACCAAAAGATCAGCAGTTCGAATCCACCAGCCGCTCCTTGGAAACCTTATGGGGCAGTTCTACTCTGCCCTGTAGGGTCGCTATGAGTCAAGATCAACTCGATAGCAATGGATTTGGTTTTCTGGTTTCATATAAACACCAGGAGCCCTGGTGGCACAGTGGTTAAGTGCTTGGCTGCAAACTGAAAGATTGGCAGTTCAAACCCACCAGCCACTCCGTGGGAGAAAGATGTGGCAGTCTGCTTCCCTAAAGATTTACAACCTTGGAAACCCTATGGGGCAGCTCTACTCTGTCCTCTAGGGTCACTATGAGTCAGAATTGACTGGATGGCAACAGGTATATTATATATAACTGCTATAAACAACACTGCTATAAACATCTAGAAAAAATGTTTAGTAATATGTTGAAACCCCAAGGATTTTTTATGATTCCTAATAGGAATACATATGTATATAATTTTTATATACTAAGAAATATTAATGCAATTCTAAGTTGTTTTATAGTGTTGGCAATGGCTTGTCATACATTCTTATGATAAATGACATGCATTTTCAAGGCAATTACAGCAAGTGATTCAGTCCGTTGACTTGTAACAGAGCTATGCTAAATCATTCACTTGTTGAATCCCTGAACCTATGCCCATCAGCTAAATTATCTATACCATAACATAGATATTATTATTTTCTACTGATGAAAAAATAGACTTAAAATCACATCAATTCATAAAGGTTTTCGTTCAATAAAAGCAATGCTCATAAAACGTTTTAAATGTTAAGTCTGAAGATATTAATTCAAGTTTTCATATGCCTCTGGTCATCACTATCTTCTGCACTCTTTATTTAAAAGCATGTAGTGAGAACCTGAAGAAATTTAGTTAAACCTGAAGGAGTATTTCTGGGGAAACTGAAAAAAATTTTAGTGTTTCAGATTTCACGAGGAATTTTTACAAGCAAAAGAAATTCATTGAATACTTGCATGATATTAAAAATTTGCAGACTTTAAGTTTAAATATTGACTTTTAGTCATAAGATGGGAGCAGTCAAACTTTGGGGGGGTTCGTTTCTCATAAATCTCAACATCACAAGGGTGTACAGGTGGTAGTGAGAAAAGACACAAAGTACTATTAGTCAAGTCTTTGGAAAAAGCTTCTAATCCTTGTGTCTTTTCCCACTAATAAAACTAAGCAGCTGCTGGAGAAGGGCGAATGGTAGAAAGGGAGGTAGGCAGGAAAACCAGTTTAAAGACCTACTAAACAATATCACTGAGGTTTATCAAAGATCCTGACAAACTTGACTGAGGATTTCTGTAAAGAATGAGAATGTGTAACAAACCAGTATTATTTTTAAATGAGAGTAACAAAATATTAAGTAATTTTTCTCTAATAATATCTGCCAAGCAAAACAGGATTCCCAAATCTTCTTGGATAAAGAAAAGAAAACCTTTAATTCTTTCTTGTGATTATTATATACTCATTATTTAAGTAATGCATGCTCATTGTTCAGTACAGTAACTTAGAAAATACAGAAAAGTAAGCAGAATAAACGTGTCATGCTACCTAACTACAGAGACGATTCTATTCTTTAAATTTTTACTTCATGTTACATTATAAGTATTTTACATTGTTATGAATTTTCTGTTAACATCTTAAATGGCTTCATAATGCCATGTTTTGTGGTCATTCCATAATTTCCCTTATTCTACTTATCAGTGGTCATTTAGGTTATCTATAATATTTATCATAAACTAGAATAAAAAATTTTGATCATAAACTTCTACTCATAGTCCAAAATATGTACTCAGAATATGCCTGAGGCAGAATTACAGGATCAAAAGATATGGTCATCTTTAAGTTCCTAATACATTCCACCAAACAGCTTTTCGAAAGGTTATAACAATTTTTACACCCACCAATGACGTATGAGAATGCCCATTTCATTAAACTCTTGTAAATACAGACTATTATAATTTTAAAACCAATATCTGACATGCAAAAAAAGTCTCATTATTGTTTTAATCTGTACACTTTATAACAAGGTTAACATTCTTTATAGTTTTTAGTTTTATTTTCTCTTGAGTCTTTGGGTGGCGCAAAGTTAAATGCTTGACTACTAGCTAAAAGGTTGGTGGTTTGAACCCTCCTAGTGGTGCCTCAGAAGACAGGCCTGGTGATCTGTTTCTGAAAGGTCACAGCCTTGAAAATTCTATGGAGCAGTTCTACTCTGCACACATGGGGTTGCCATGAGTTGGAATCAATTTGAGAGCAACTAACAACAACAAATTTTCTCTTGAGAATTACGAGAATCCTTTATTATTGTCATTTTTCTTTTGGAAAGGGAAATAAATCCAGTGGGGTAAAATGACACAAGATCAAAAAGGAAATACAAATCTGTGTGATGGGTACTCAGGGGTTAATTTACTAGCCTCTCTGTTTATTATTAAAAATTTATATAACAAAAATTCAAAGAATATCATAAGAAAAATGGCTTTACATTTTGTACATAAGAGCAAAAGTAATTCAAGATTTTATTTTCTAACATATGCTGAACAGTTACGTTATTGAAGGTTAAATCTCCAGTACTCTTACACTGTCTTACTTAATGTCAGTATTTAGATCACCTCCAGCACGGCTCTGGAGTTGACATTTCCCTCAGGTGAACGGGGAAAGCAATTCACACATTAGCATGCTTGTTGCCATATTACTGACTGTGTGAGGATAATTTTGTACCAAGCTACTTTAACAAAGAAAGTAGTTTTCCACACATTTTGTGGGGAAAGAACAGACCTTTATATAAAGCACTGTTACAAAAGGATAAAACACCAAGAAATAGACATCCTATCTTTCTGAAAGTAACTAAAATTCTTATTTTATTCTATTGTACTCTAGATCATATGTTTAAAATTTAAATACATAAAATGATAGATTTTATAGGAAAATCCTGAAAGCCATATTTAATTAGAGTCACTAAATGGCAAAACTGGAAGGTGATATCCAAGTAATTGTGTTAAGGAAGTGGAATCACAGGCAATCTTTATTTCTAAATTTTCTTCAATTGTGTCACAACTTTCAAAACAAAAAATTACCTTGAATTGGCAAATGGTGTTAGATATATTGTTACAACAATTTTAAAAAAAGTTACAGACAAGAAGAAATCAACTCTTATGATAGCCCATGTAACACTCACAGTATATGGAATTTAGCAAATGTTTAAGAAAAAAGTAAATTTGTGTGCAATCATTTCTTTAAACCTGAAGTTTTTTTTTTATTAAGACTGCACTATGAGTTGCTGAAGACCTTCTTCATAATTAGAAATATTTTTCCTCACCTTACACATGCCATAGTCAGTGAGTTTAATGTGTCCTTCAGAGTCCAGTAATACATTGTCCAATTTCAAATCTCTATAAATTATCCCTCGCTCATGAAGATAATTTAATGCTAGACTGATTTCTGCAGAGTAAAATCTAAAAAATAAAATTAAAAAAAGGGCATATTTGAGTCACATATTTACGTTATGATAGGCTGTTAGAGGAAGGAATGTAGGGCCTACTCCCACCTGCAAACAGAAATGTAAAAATCATGTCTAAAGATTTTTTTCCTTTCGATGTTTTTAGGATTAACACTGAAAACCAAATTGAAGTACCACTTTAAAACATCGGAGCCCAAAACACACTTATAAAAGTTTCAGTCTAGCTTAGACTTAGATTTTTCATAAAGCTAATAACCTGAAAGTCTGAAACGGGGGTTTTTAATCTGTGTCCTTTGATGGACTCGAGCCAGTCCATACTCCTCCTCTAAGTGAAGGTAAAGCATATGCACATTTTCTAGAAAGTTTCCACAGCTTTCAATACTTCTATAAGGGACCAATGAACCCAAAAAGGCTAAGAACCACTGACTGGTCTAGAACAGGAAGAATACTAAAAGTTGACTACTCAAACTATAAATCCATACTAAGATCTTAGAAAAGGAATTAAAAGCTACTCATAAAATTTAATATTAAAGAAAGCACTTTTTAAAACCACCACCAGCTTACTGGTGATAATCAGAAATTCTGGCCTAAATAATAAAAGTGAAACTAAATTATAAACAAACTTTATCCTTGTTATGAAGTGTACAAATTAAAACAATAATGAGACTTTTTTTGTAGTTTATGGCCACTTTGGTGGCATGTTATCATGATCCCGATTAGAGGTACATATGCACACCTTCTAGCTACTTAATTCTATGCTCAAGGAGCTCGAGCCCTTCTTTGGCTCTTTGCTTCCTAAAAAAAGCAAAGATATTATAAAACTAGAACTCGCATTTGAATATAGTAAAAACCAAACCACTTCCCCCAAGCCCAACTGAACAAAGCAGGTAACAAATACTGGCTATGTTCACAATTCAAAATATCATCTGTGGCTTTGCTGTGAAGGGTGACCATTTGATAAAGCCGAAATATAAATAAACAAAATTAAAATTAACAAAAAAGTATGGGCTTAATATTAGATTAGTATGGTTTACACAATCTTATCAAATTCAAGGGCATCTCTCTTTTTGACAGGAAATAGATTTCTATTAAATAAATTAATTTTTAAAATGAAATCTCTAACCTATGCTCTCCATTTAATAATTACATGCATGTAGAAACTCATGTTTCATTTTGGCATTACTCTTATGAAGCACGAATTACTGCTAATTATGAATTTTAAAAAAATAAAAAATAAAGTCCCACACACACGGCATTGTGGATTAAACCATTTATCCAAGGTCGCAGTCAATCAGTACAAAGTCAAATATTTCATGATTCTTCCCCACCTAACTCCTCCAACATACAATTTATAGTCTTTGATAATAATATCAAATTAAAGGCACAAAATTAGTATTTAACGCTTGTCTCTCTTATTCATCAACAGAGAAAAAAAGTCAAAGGCAGAACAATTCAGAAATTATAATTAGAGGAAAAACAGTCAGAATTATATAATAATTTAAGAGGAATTGTTTTATTACTCTTAAATATAGACGAACACCTTCTAAAGAAAAACTGTCAAATAGAGATAACTGCAAACTGATTAAGATTAGTAAGAAGTATTTGTAAATTTATCAATTATGTTAGTAACTGATGCACAACAGGCAAAATATTTGAAAATAACCAGTTGTAGTACACTAAAGGTTTTCCTTTTAGTACTGTTTATACTTTCAATTCCTTAGGAAGCACTAAGTATATGATAAAATACATATTACAGTTATAATGTAATGTAAACTAACTTTTAGCTCAGCCGCCACATACTTATAAAAAATTAACTACTATCAAAATAAATGAATTATTTACTGTTTTCAACCACTGGCACATAAAAGTCACTCTCCCACAAAAAATCCAACACAAACAAACAAACAATCAACTTACCTGGCATGTTCTTCAGGAAGTTTTCTTTGTCGCTGCATATGAAACATTAGATCTCCTCCATTTACGTACTCTATAACGAAGAACAACCTAAAACACAGGAGAGGATCCATGAAACCATGATCCAGAGTAAGGCAGTGTAACTTGGCTTTTTAAACACTACAGAAATCAGTCACAACTGAGGCAGCATTCTATACGATTTACCCTTAACAAAGATGGCAGGAATTTGGTGAAAACAAAGGGCAGCAGGACTAGAAAGCTGTTTAATCACAGCAGATATGAGAAAGTAAACCAACACGATGATAATTCGGTAACTTCTACTTCTGTTCTAAAGTTGTACCACTTGCAATCCACAGCCACTTACTCTCAACCCAAATTTTAGCATTTACTAGATAAGTAATTTTCAACTGCCACTTAAGATAAAGAAGTCATGATCTCCTTCCTCTCCACCTAAGCTAAACTCTAGAGAAACCATAAACCCTAAAAGTAGAATCCTAGGATTATTTAAAAGATTGGATTTCTACTGTCATAACTATGACCTGGCTGCTTTTTTTTTTTTTTTTTGCCTAAAGCAGGTAATTTCCTAATGCTGACCCATGTCAAACTGCTATCACTGATTGGAATAGGAGTTGTAGAAAGTTATAAGCATACTACTGTTGTGTCCTCCATGACTTCTACTCCATGAATTATACTAGGAAGGGTTAATGTAGTATACAAATGGGTAAGGCCCAATAATCATGCCATTATCTTTCAATCTTACCTGCTTTCCGTCTGAAAGCAAGAATGCAGCCCAACCAGAAAAGGATGATTGGATGCCTGCTCAAAAACATGCTTCTCTGTCTGCACCCAATCAATATCCTATTTTAAAATACAAAAGAAATACATAATGTCAAAATGAAATGGCATCATCAAATCTAACGATAAATTTGTTCTTAGCAACTGAATTATCATAAATGTAATTATTACCAGCTACTCTAATATCAAAACCATTGATAACCGTGACATAACAACTTATATACAAAGAGAAAACACCACTAGTAAATCTTTTAATACAATGAAAATGTCTAGAAAAGTTTTATAAAGCTCATGTACTTTCCCTTGATGAGGTGGTTTGATTTTTATTTTTAAAAAATCTAATAATAGTCAGGTTAAATATCTCTTATATAATCTGTTTTGAAGCATATATTTAGAAAAGTAGACTGAAATAATAAAGCATGAACATTGTACTGAGTTTAGAAGTAGTAATACATTACTGTGCTTACCTCATCATCATTGACAAGCTCTTTTTTCACAACTTTCATTGCATAAATACGATCTGTTCTTTTTAATCGAACCAGTAGCACTTTGGCATAACTTCCTCTTCCTATTACCCGGAGCAAATCAAAATCCTGAAGTCCTAAACTGGATGAAGCTTTGCCACTTTCCCTGGTGTTCATTGCCTGTTGAGAACATTTATCTCCAAGAGTTACACCTGGAAATATTCTGCATAATACACTGTATTTCTAACACCTAGTTATACCTGTAATGATTTAAAAATATTTTATGATTTAAGCTCTTAATATTTTTCTTCTTACATCATTCTAGACCATATAATCTAACTACCTAAGGGGGAGGATGAGTTTGTGAGTTGAGGTCAGAACAGTGGTGATGAGAATGGAGAGGGAGTTGAAATTAGAGAAATACTAAGTACGTCTTAAAAAGGAGTTGATAACTTTTTGGTATGAGGGTAACAGAGATGCATGAATAAAAAAATGACACACACTTTGGTGAGTAGGAGATTGGAGGTACCATTGATAGGGAAGATAGTGTGGAGAGAGGATAAGACTGGCAGAAGTTGTTGAAAATAATGAGCTTGGTGTTTCATATCTAAGTCAGAAGTGACAATGGGACATCGAGATGAAAGTGTCTGCTGGAAGCACAATATATGAAATCTGAGCTAGTGAGAGGACATATTCAGAGACATTTTAGAAACTGCAGGCAGAAAATAAGCATGAAGCAGTTCAACTAATGGAAGACAATCTTTTCCACAGAATACCAACGTCCTATGGGTGACAAAGTCAGCTTTATAATCTATTGACAACTAGAAACTTGAGCTTCTAGCTATTTCCACAAAAGACTAATAAGAATTCAGCCATAAAGAGAAATGAAGTTCTGATAAATGCTATGATGTGGATGAACTTTGAAACCACTATGCTAATCCTCCTCCATTGCCGGTGGGATTGAAGAATTATACAGTCGCTGTAGAAAACAATTTGGCAGGTCCTCAAAAAGCTGACAACAGAATTACTGTATGACCCAGCAATTCCACTCCTAGGTATACACCTAAAGAATTGGAAGCAGGCAGGGCCAAGATGGCGGAGTAGTCAGACACTTCCAGTGAATGCTCTTAAAACAAAGACCCGAAAAAACAAGTGAATCAATTATATATGACAGTCTAGGAGCCCTGAACATCTAAGGCAAAGATGAGGAACCCAACTGAGTGGCAGAGGGGAGAGAGATGGTTTGGCAGCAGTGAGAAGTTGCCAGACCTGACCCAGCGAAAGCCTGAGCCCTTCAGGCCTGATCAGCTCATGGGAGAGTAGTGAGGGAGGCAAGCACTGACGCTCGGGAGGCTCGTTTTCTGCACCGGGAGAGACCCAGTGCAAGAGAGTCTACTCGGCCACCCAGAACCAGTGAGAAGCAGCCCTCGATCCACGAAAGAGACGTACTTGCATACGGCCTACCGCACGGATTAAAAATACTTCTCTTAGGGAAAAACTTCTCTCCAATTTACCTCTCCGCTCCCTGTTCTGCACTGGGTCCCAGACCAGCTTCAGCAATTGCCAAGTCCCCTGGGACAGAAGTAGGATCCGTCACACGCCCTCAGCTATTCTCCCGGCCGTGGAGAGTGAACAAATTAACAAACAAGGGGGAAATAAACTGCAGGTTCCCCTAAGCCAGGAACCCACGGTAGGCACAGCTCCTTTGCCTAGGCACAGGCATACAGGATCTACAGACTCTGAGTGCCTTTTCCCCTGCAGAAGCTTGTGTGCCTATTTCAATAGCATAGGCCCTCATTATCGCAGTACAACAGGGTATATACCTGAAGTCTAACGTCAACTGTTGCAGCTGTGAAGTGGCAGGTTCATGACATTTGACACTGCTCTGCCCATTAAGCAGGGTTCTTCACCTACCCACGTGAGGGTCCTGAGAACTGGTGGCTCCACCCACGCCACCTAGCCACCTGTGATAGGTGCCCATGAATAAGAGGTGCCCCCCAGCCCTTACAGCCAAAAGCATTAGGTGCTCATAGTCTGGATGCAAAACCCACTCACCTACCTATGCACTCTAGGGAACAGGGAAACGCCTTCCTCCTGGACACTCGGGAGTGGCAGTCAGCCCCCTGCCTTGCTCAGAGTGTGTCCCCCCTGCTGCAACCAGATGCCTGTGCCTACACCAATCACCCATGCCTGTCTAGGACTGTAAGTGAGAGCCTACACCAAACACTTGGTGGCTATCTACCTGGGCACCTGAGCTGAATCCATACAGGAGGAGTGGGTGGACTCCTGAGCTCACATACCTAGTAACAGATCTAACCACCTGGTGATAGGACATTAGCCCTTCAAAGGTACCAATAATCAAACTAGTTCACATGAGCAGCCTATTTGGGCATATCAAAACAAAACAAGAAGCTAGGACACAGTAAGCAAACATAAAATAAATATAATAACTTACTGATGGCTCAGAGACAAGAGTCAATATCAAATTACATAAAGAGGCAATCCATGATGGCTTCAGCAAGCTCCCAAAATAAAGAATCTAGAAACTTTCCAAAGGAGGAAAATTTCTTGTAATTACTGGAGGCAGAACACAAAAGATTAACACACAGAACTCTTCAAGAAATTAAGCAAAATGCAGAATGCACAATACAGGAAATTAAAAAGATCAGAGAAGAGCATAATGACAAATTTGACAGGCTGCAAGAATCCATAGAGAGACAGCAATCAGAAATCCAGAAGATTAACAATAAAATTTCAGAATTAGACAACTCAATAGAAAGTCA